TTTCTAATTCAGTTTGAGTTGCATAAATTACTAAAAGGCAACTGAATCTGTAATGTAACTCATCTTGGATTAATCAACGATCTATGGTTGATTAATTTCGAATTTTACCACTTACTACGAAGAGCAGCACTGAATTGTTATAACGATGATTTCACGGTGATTAGTGCTCGCTCCAAGTAAAATCAAAGTACTAAAAATGCCATTGATGACTAGTCACAAAAAATAAAGTCAAACCAATAGACACTAGAATTGAGAGTCAAGAATTTATCTTCATATGAGATTATGGGATCATAACGACTAGAAGTTGTAAAGTATAATGGAATAATTGTTCAGAGCTCCCTTATTTTCATTTATTCTCCAGTTAATGGAAATCCATCCAAAAAGTATTTTCGTATGTTTCTAACTTTCTTGGCATATCATCAGCCTCTACAATCAATACGAAAATATTCTATGATAAATATGTTCAACAAGGAAAGTGATTAGTAGTAGAATCCAAGACATAGATTTCGTCCAATTCGACGTTTATTTGTTTGATGTTCATGCCTCCCACTGTTAACCATAAATTAAACCTCTAAGAGTTATAAAAATAAGCTGCTGATTTACTATGTCCACTGATTAGTTAATAGTCATCTCCAAATGCCGAGTATCATATAGAATGAAGTATGTTCTGAATCCCTCTCGTTTTTATCATTAAAATGTACAGTCAACGTGTGTTAACACGCTAATATCGAAACATCCGCTTAAAGAATCCATATGGAGAAATAGGATGAGTAAATCAATCTTAAATACAAAGAATTCGAAACAACAGACCTTTATGGAAAAAATTAGCAGTAGATTTGCAAATATCGTCATGACAAAATATTTCGTGCTCGTTAGTCCAATTAATTGTCAAGCTCTTGCACTAAAAAACTAAGTTATAAATTATTCGGAAATGATGTGATCATAATCAGAGTTTTCCTTAGATGAAGAAACCACAAACCGCCTAAATGTAGTATCAGCATGTAATTAATATTATAAGTTGTAATGGTGAGCTGAAGAAATATACTACTAAGTCATACAATAAGTATGTCACCGAACTAACTAGTCTCAAACAAGCTTAACGGTTTTCAATGTTTAAAGTATTTTCAGTGGCCCAGAAAAATTCTCAGATATCAATGAATTGTGTTCAACTATTTGAATCCTTTGGTAGAATGAGCTCCGTAATGCCATTCAAACCTGAATAATTCACAAAACTTAAACCATTTCAAAAACATAATTAAATGTGTGATTCACACTCTTATAAGTCACGATTGCAAATTCGGGATAACCTTATCTACATGAATATTACAAGTACTGCTTCATTTTAGTATCTTAGAGTTTACCCTAGCTTTCTTATTTCTAGAGTCCAGAATCCTAAGAATATTCTCAAATAATGAAAACTATTTACATTCTACTGATTGAATTCAAGAGAAAACATATGGGCTGTAGTCAAGTTGGAACTAGTGAAATTCAAATTATTGTTTGGGGACTTTATAAACTGAGTTAAACTGTATAGACGTACATCTTAATCACACTTTAAATGAGGTTTACATTAAGATGAAACATTTGTCTTTTTTTTCCTACTTTTGTTTCATTATTACAGTAAAAAGAATAGATGAATACTCCATACATAGTATTTGTAATAAATAGGTTTATTTGGATTTTCGCCTAATGATGAGTTGTATTCAAATAGTAACATACTACTGAGCGTTGTTAATAACTAATTCTGTTACATAAAAGGTCTAAAGTATACGCTGAATATTAAAAAGTTATTTTCATTTCTATTAATTTTGTTCATGGTTACATAATTGGTTATGTCAATCATTCATTTTTAATAAATTATTACCCTTTCATTAAGTTTATTTTTTTAATCATTTAAGTTTTCAAGTCGGAAGCAATAAGTTATATATTTGGAACAGCACTTATTGCTACGTGATATCGACCATTTTCAAGATGACAAAAAGAAATATTCATTATAGACTTCAATAAAGTAAATCAATATATCTATGACTACACTATTTGGTGAAATGATTTACACTCTTTAGATATCAATAGCATTTCACTGATAGGTACTGGTACTTATGAAAACTTAGTTAAGCAGTGGTTACTAGGTTTGATCATCAGCCTCTCTGTATAAAATGGAATACACATTGACAACTTTAAATATTTAAATGACAAATTTTCGTTAATTCTGGAAACTAGATATCATAATATCATTTATAATAAGGACGTTTTCACTTTTTAAAAAGAAATATTTATATTAATCATTGTAGTGAAGTCATTAAAAAATCTTTACAGTGAAGTAATTGTAATCTGATTAATGGATCAGTTTTCCAGTTTATTTAGTAAATCACTCAGCTAGTAACCTAGAAATATCTAGAGACTCAGATTTGCATTTGACTCGGGTCAAACTACCTATTTATATCATAAACTTTGTCATCTGAAGTTAATCCTCAATACTATCAACGTGACATTAAAATGAGTTGAAGTCAACAACAGTGTAGATGAAATTAATAAATATTTAGACAAATATTCTAAGGAATATATAAAAATATATTGATAATAAATCATCAACGAAGCAAAGAGTGAAATTAGCGAGCGAACATTATTTGACTTTTCATCAAGTTATTGTGTAGTGACAATCGTATTAAATACGATTGTAAGCTATTTGACACGTAATGGATAAGCAGAAAGCGTTGTACACAATAATCTATGAGCAGTACCTAAATAACTAAGTTTTTTTAAAAACTTTTTTAAAACATATGAATGTTTACCAATTTCTGAGAAATTTGGCATAATTTCATGCTTCTTTGAGAAGAGTAGTCTACTTGAAAGCCTAGATGTCTAATAAAACCAAATGTTTAGGGGGTTATTATTATTATTGTTATTACTATTATTAATGGCTTTAGTTAACGTTATATTTTTAGTACAATATGGAAATCTCAGCACAAGGTATTTCGACAAATTCCATTTACAAAACGAGATTAAAAAAACCCAGTAACTGCATACAGGTATTCATGAATTAAGTAAATAAACTACTTGGAATTAAGTAAAATGTTTTTTAATAAGATAAGAATTTCTACAAGTTTTAATCAGAAACATGTTTAAGAATACAGGCTAGGTCAGCTCTTAGAAACTGTTCATCACAGTGTGTACTTACTGGATAAGGTATTGTAGAACTTTTATATTTTTGCTTGAGAGCATGAATTTTAATGTATTGACGTCTCGTTCTTCCAGAAGGTATACAAGGAGAAGGATGTAGATGAAATAGACGGTTATTTTCTGATAATATAACACTTGCCAGGAGTTTGCAAAATTCTAAATTTCTATCCAGAACCGTATTCCTAATGACCTCAAAAGATTCAGCACAAATTGTTAACTGTCTTCAGCACTCTCAGCAAAATCTCTCCTTAAAAGCCCGGGAAAGAATAATGGGAAACAGTCAAAATTAATAGGTAATATCAAAGAATTTGTAAGTCGTAAAAGTAAATGACGAGTGATGCCAAAATATATGGCCTCTTTATTTAATAAGTCAGACGGAAAACTTCTTTTGATAACAATAAAACATGAAAAGACGAAGAGAGATCAGAGAAAAATCTTACACCAAGATGGATGACTCTCGACAATTTTTTATTACAGGATGCTGTAGTATACCAAATTACTCAGACTAAATTTGGAGTTTAATATCAGTGAGATTTAGAATTTCATATTTTATGTTTATTAGATTCATGTATATACTTGTTTCTGTTCCCAATAAAATTCAAATCCAGTACTTATGCTTTGAACTTTGTAGTGAGTTCAATGATTTAGGTTAGCTACCCATTAGACAAAGTGGGATGACTGATACAAAACCACGATTCATTATCATATCGAAGCATCATTCAGCAGGAAAAACATACATAAGATAGGACAGTACAGGAACCACAGAGAGTTATAAACTCCAACACTGAAGTATCTATTGGTTCAAAATGTCTTCAGAAACCTGTCTAGTGAGGATTTAGGGTTCATTTCTATTAGTAACTTATCATTTTGCTCACCTTAACCAAACAAACCCAACAAAGTATCTGACAAAAATAATCATGTTTGATTCTGGTGACTAATTGAATAAACTAAACGAAATTTACTTTGATGATTTGTGGAAATTCTCCAATCGGATATAAATAGAAAGAATAGATAACAATGGCGAAGATAGAGGAAGATACAGTCGACCAAGAAAAAGCCTGGTTATTTTGAGGTTCACATATGAAATGTTACGCAAACTTGATTTGCTCAGGTTAATATCTATTTTATTACTCCTGGTCTTCGAGTACTGTATGATAGTGGGGTTAGAGCAAGATTTCCTACCACGATCTGAATACATATTAACGACCAGCTTACTCTGGGGCGTAAATCAATGTCTAGATATCTTTTTAGAGGCAAAACAAAGTTTTATAACCCGCATGAACCTCAATATTTGTTAAACTACAGTTAATATGTCCGAGCTGATTAAAAACTAGCTTTAGTACAGAACCCTTCTCGCGTCCCAATTTTGTGACTTAAAAAAGATATTTTTTATCGATGGGTCAAAAGGAAAAAAATTATTCTCGATATCAAGACAGATGTAAGGATTGTTATTATCACCACAAGATGGATTCAACTGAAAGAATTTCAACCTGGAAACAAGGTACGGAAAAATACTAAGACCATGACAGGCTTCGCTTCAATGTCTTTGGGGAAGAGCCAATGGTGTCTGTGTTAACATAACCTATCAGGCCACCCAAAATCAAATTCGATAAATGATAGAAAACACGTGACCAATGACTAAGCTGACGACAAAGGTAAATTTACACAATAAGCCAATTACAGCAAAGTAAGGAGTGACTAATAAGTAAACATTGAATCAGGCTAAAATATGATTGGCTATTTTTAGTTGTCTGTACTAAATGATCGGTCTGACTAAAGGCAACGACACTGCATTACTGTTTAGGTTGGTAATGTTCGAATGAGTCTGTAGCGGCAACCATTCAACTTGGTTAGGCTGCATAGATTTGGAGGTAAGATATTGTGTGGATTAATAACACATGCATTTCTGTGATGTATTTGTTAGGATTGTATGCCTCTTCATTATTCCGATAATTGAGAATGAGTAACTGGTTTCGGAGATAAATTTAAGCAGGCTTGTTAGGTAATCTCAGCCCAGTTAAGCAAATCGAACCGGTGAATTATACTTCTGCACAGGTAGATGATGAAGGCACAGATAGTTGAGAAAGTTATTGCAGCTGTATTATCTGTTAATAACGAAAATAAAATTTTAGACAGTAACAGAAAACATACTAGTTTGTAATTCATGCAATTCCGTCTACTCATTTGTAGGCGGGATGCTTTTATCCCACGTTTCTGGAAAGTTTCCGCCAAAGTTAGTCACCCGTGGTTTTTTAAAGAAAAAGACTTACACTGATGCTAACATGATTGTTAGTTTTCGCGACATAACATCTTTTAGATTTTTTGTCTAAAAACAAGAGAAACTATCAGTAAATTTTTATTTCTGTCAGACTCCTAGGGAAGAAAAAATTGTTATTTGTCAGGGATTCTAAGTAACACATTGTAGCTAATAACCCACTTTTGTCTTCAAACTCTTCAAGCAACCGATTATTGTTCTTACAGCGGCTTAACATTGGCATTGCTCGGTGACACGGCTGTATGTACAAAGTATTTCACAAATGCACGTGGCTTATTACTTGCAAGCTACCCTTGTCTTCTAGTTTCATTTGCTATGCTTTACATACTGTCCTAACGCCTTACCCTGCATTGTTTTAACAGTCAGTCGCTACGTAGAACCTGGTAAGTATACACATCGGTCCAAGTTGCCATACCTAATTAGTACAGAGATATGAGATTATCAGGACAAATACCAAAGCAGTAGAGGTAGTAACAGTATCAGTGTTAATGGTAAAGTTTAGTCATCAAGGATGCGGTTCGGCAAGAAAACATACTGGTGCAATGAAAAAATTCTGAAGGACTCAGATAAAGAATAGATGCACCTGTGCCATTCCAAACAATTTTGAGCCGTGTCATTTAAAGTTTAACCACTGGTCACGGAAATCACGCGGACCCCAACCAGTTAGTCAATACTTATTGACACGGCTCGATCTAATTGTCGATGACTTCATTGTTTAGTGACAGGTTTTATTGTGGTCGCCCTTAGTTTTCTCCCAACCTACTCCTACAAAGAACATCGTTGTAAGCGGTGGTTGGGCATGAGTAACACATATCCTAATCACCTCGGGTAATAAAGATTTACTGCCTCACCAACCAATTTTTCGTCCTTACCTAGTACTATGCATCTAACCTTGATAGTCCTAAAATATACGAGCAGTGGTTTTAAGATTTTATTTATTTTAACACAGATATTGATACAAGGAGGTACCAAATACATATGCGCCACACAAATCTCATTCGATGTGTGAAGGCTGTGATACTGCCCGGGTGCCCAAACCGAAGCAGGTGGTTTTCTTAGGGGGCCACACCCCGAGCCTTCGACCTGAAGGTCTGATCCACAAGGCAGTGGAGCATCGTAAGGAGATGCAGTCCCGTGGAAGCCGGTGACCGAAAATTGGTTCATACGCCATTCGTTCTTTTAGGATACTGGAGCCCATGTGCACCATTGGTTTGGAATCCGGTTAAAGCGGCGGACATTCGCTTTTCGTCCTCTCATTTTTGTAAACAACACCCCCGCCACGAGAAGACAGTGAGTGGGACTTCCCTATGATCAGACATTAGTAATCTACGAATGTCCTCAAGTTTCAAAGGAAAACTTTAGAGCTACAACAGAATGAACTTCTGAGCAACATACTGATCACTTAGTTGGCAAACTAATATCTGGCCTACGCCACGAGTGATGCGAGTCGGCTTAAGCCAACTGGGATTTCTGAATGCATGTTGAGGTTTCTTAAGACACCAGCCCATCAAGACTAATGAGAATCTTATGTGAGTCGGTTAATGTACTCAACTGGTTCACTCCCTATCATTTATTCAGGCGCTAATGCAGGCTAGTCCTAAGGTAACATATTTTGAAGACGGATGAAAGTTAGGGACGGCCAAACCAGAACGTGGTATCAGCCCGTAAAGTTACTAACTTCTGGCATGAGTCATGTTGGTAGATAGAGACTACTTGGTTGGAGGTTGGTTGATATGGTTCGGAATCGGTCACAATTACGTAGGTCTATACACTCTTTGGTTTCCCTTACACTGTAAGATTAAAATCACTTTATATCATTCTGCGAACTAATTCTTTCTCAATATATCATATAATCATATGGAATCTTTTTTTACCACCACTGAAGTAACTGCTTCTATGAAATTGGTGTTCATTTTGTTGTGCTATTGAGGTATGGCATCTTGGATCAATGCAAATATGTGCCTGGTCCTACGTTGTAGCTGACTGACTGAAGTAATATTTTACATTTGGAGAGAGAGAATCGCATTTTAAACTTGCCAGTTTTAAACCAAAACGACGAAATTGTTTCAAGTGCCAACTTACAACTCAAGCCGTGGACAAGTAAAAGCCATAACAACTTCAGCGTTGAAGCAAATGTTTAAAAGACTCATTGTAAGGTTACATAGACTCGAACCACCTCTAGGTGTAAGTCCATACTATTTTATATATTGCAAGACGCAAAATAATAACAAGGAAACCACTGATTTCTGATAAGTGGCAATATAAAGACTACTTAAGTAACATTTTGGCTTACTAAAGGAGCGTGAGGTAGGTTTTCACCCTGAGCTAACCTGGTGTTTGGAGTATGTCGTGAAACCAACAGTCATTTCTGCCGTGATTATATTCAAAGTTGCAAACAGTGTCTCACTAATAGTTTAGCAATTTCTGATATTCAAGTTCTACCTCTCAAGCTAGAATACATTATAAGCTCTTTCATAACTTTTAGTTTACGGTTAAAGTTTTATAGGATGTCATTTCTCTTGGGTAACACACTATTTTTATTGTTTTCTTGACTTTTCAGGAATATAGGATTGATTTGTAATCCTAGCAGTTAGTTATTTTAAAGGATAAAATAATGCTTTATTGAGTTCCCTTATCTTACCAGATGAGCCATTGTCCTGTAGAATATTCCAATCCTAATTCCCAGAATACCATATCTTATATTACCTCAGATTCTGTTATTAGTGTCTCGTTCGCAGATTGTCAGTCGTCTAGTCCTTCATACCACTCTCTGTCATCAAGTACGACTCTTCCTGGTGTTGGCTCTTTCTTGGATAAATCAAATCACCTTTCACACTATTCTCCTAATAAATATTATGATACAGAACCTACTGTAATTCCGGGACACTCTTGCGTTGAGAACACTGGTGTTTTCGATAACAATCTTCCTTATCCAATAAAATCGGAGGCCATTCACGAAATAGTATCTGGGACGTTTATTACTCCAGATGCGCACAACCAATCATGTTTTACATCTCCTTTACATCCTCTAAAATCATTAAACCCAAGTCTTCCTGTCCAATCTAGTGAATCTTTGTTAACTGGTTTCACTCATCCACTTTCTATGGACCATACTGTTTTAGAAGACGGTGGGTTAGATTTGGATCGAGTGTTTGTCGCTATTATTAATGATCGAAATTCTGAACATGATATCTTTAATGATACTGATGTTAATTGTGACAGTGAACGCTGCTCAATTGATAAATCAAATTCCTGTAACAAACAGTTACTTAATAATAGTATTCAGTCGTCTGTTAACCAAAGTATGCTAACAGATGATTCAGCGGACAAAAGTTTATTAAAGTACTATCCTGTAGTAGATACTGAGAAGACAACTCAACATCAAACCCATCCAAGTAAGTTTTTTTTGTATGATTGACTCATTATAGGAAGAAAATCTATTTTTCTTGTGCACTCATCTTAAAGCTTTTATCTCCCAAATATTTCCATATATGATCTTAGATTTTGTATAATCAGGGCTGTCCTATACAAAGGCGATTCAAGTATGAATATTTAGTAGATTTTACGTTCATAAATAAATGACAACGCAATTACGTGCTCCTAGATTGGTGGCTTAATACTTAAATGTTTATATTTACCAAGTCTCGTATTGTAACATGTTGTTGGAGGTAATCACACATATGACTTCAAATGATGTGAAAATTTATGGATTTAAATAATTGATCAGCCGATGTAGCGCTATATTTTGGAGTATAGGATATTCTTCATTACTCTGTTTCCAAGTATATATGACTGAGTTTCTCGAATCAATACACCAAATGTATCGTTTTCCAAGCACAATCATCTGTTTTCATTCGCGTGATGAGAACTTGTTAATCAGTTGGAAATATACAGAATGTAAGAATTTCCTGTTGTTTATATCGTTAACTATTGAACGGCTTTTAATTGTATCTAAAATCCAAATACTAGTTTTAGTTTAGTTTATTTAACTCGGTAACCAAGTAGTGTTTCATTCACTTTAAGACACTGAATGTATACAAGCCTGTGGTACTATCCGACTGCTCAAACTCATTTAGTCGAGTTCAAAGCCGAAACCCGATGGTTAAAAGCTTTAACTACTGGATTACTACTCACCTGTCAGCCTGTTGATATTCGAGATTTTTCGGTTTCTCTGAAATATGGCGGATAGCTTTCCAAAATGCCTCATAATGTAAGGCTTGTTTTATTTGGCTGGCACTACCATAGGTTTGTTGTTAAGATGCTACTAAGGATGTCTCCTGGCAGGAGGACTATGATGAATGTCTTGGTAACTTGCAGTTTTTGGAATTGAAACGTGATTTCGATCACCAATGTAGAAAATTTAGTGTAAGCCTGCTACGTCAACCAAGCAGAATGCTAATTTCACTTGTATATTGAATTTTTATCAGACATAAGAACTTGTGGTTCTGGACAACGGAGAGTGGGTCAATAGATTTTAGCAAAGGTTTGTCGTATGCAATGCAGTACACTGTAAGATATGTTGAGACATTAAAAAAATTCTACTACATGACGTATTTGATGGCTAGACGTTTTCGAATGATACCAGGTTTGCATTACTGGACCAACCTTATGGGATAAGTTTTTTCGGAAAAATACTACGATTATCTTAAGTATCTTATCAATGTTTTTGAACAGAAGGAAGTGCAACAACTAGGGTTAAAATAGTCTCACAAAACTCTTACAACTATAAATCTACTTCACTCCTACCCGAAGATTTTGCTGATGTTTCGATGAGCAAAGCGCCACTAAGATCCACATCAAATTTGCTTGATTGAAGTCTGAAGTGAACCCATATATCTATGTATGATGGAGGTTAACTTTAGAACAGCGGTATTGATTATCTAAATGGTTCTTAGTACACTTGACCACTCCTATTGAAGGCATCATCGCAAACGTTTGGTATCTCGTATTTAATTATCTGAGTCAATCAAAGATCTTCACGGGAAAGTAATACTTGAGTTCTTGGTAGCTGGTTATTTTGTTCTTTTATTTACCGGTATCTTATCAGTTCAAGCATTCGAGTTTTGGCAGGTAGTTGGTATCACTAATTTTCACACATGCTTTGCTTATAATCCACTACTCGATTATTTACGAGGTTGACTAGTTAGTTCCTGTTTACATTTACTTACAGAAACATCCCCCATTTCAGAAGTTGGCCAAACACGCAAGTCGTCTGGATCATCTGAAGTTTCAACCCGAATATGCGTAGTTTGTGGTGACAAAGCTTCAGGGTTCCATTATGGTGTGTCTACATGCGAGGGTTGTAAGGTATGCTAACTACTATGTTTATTTTTCAATAGATTGAATACTCGAGTTTCATGTGATCTTAAAAGCGTCCAGTGCGTCAGAAGATAGTCAAATTCTAATTTTCATAACTTCTCGAAAAAATGTATTTTTATGTGTATTAAAAAATCAGACATCTCAAAGTGATAAATGTTAAGGCTAAATCACACGCATATCTCCTGCAACAAGCAGTAATTAGTTTCAATTACAACTTACTTTCAAAAAATAAAACCACCCATAATGGTAGGCACTTAGCATAAGCAAATAGGTAAATAATTAGTTTAATATGGTTGGACGAATTCTAATCACATCAGACAATAAAAGATTCGTGCACCGAATGGTTACTCATAAATAACGTAAAATACATCTAGTACTCTATATCGTGTTTCAGATGATGATGATATAAATAGATATGAATACAAGGCTCTATAGCTGACATGCAAATTTGACTAGATATGTGTGTAGTGATAGACAACTAACAAGTTATACGAAAATTCTTCTATATCTTGTGGTCTCGTTGGGTATATTTTTGCCAGTACAGTGTACTTGAAAAAGTTAGGTCGTCAATAATATTCCATATATCTGCGAAATCGTCTCAAAGGGACTGTTTCATGTGTTCTGCACTTTTCTTCTGAGTACAGATATTCAGATATATCACAAGCTAATCTTACGGCTTGTCTTAAAGTTTTCCTTCACCACGTAAATGTGCTTTAATAAAAACTGACTTATTCTGCTGTTAGTCCAATGATGTATTAATAAACTAATAATCAGATGGTTGATTTCCTCTCACTAGCGTTTTTTTACCAAGGTTCTTATTTGCGGGATGGGGCTGTTGTTAACCCCATACCAAACCCTTCCCTTTTACCCAGGATTAAGTTCGGCATTAATTCTAAAAGGGCTCCAGGCAGTTAGTCATATAACGGTGTTTAATTCGTTCTCAGTTGTACGTAAATTACAGCTTCTATTACATAATTTAAAATTACTGGGTGATAATAGGGCTATAGTCAACGACGTCACTTAAGGATGTAGTACTGATGAAGTATGGCAAATCGGTTGATAGAATCGTGGATCTTCATCACATAAGGTGATTCGGATATGTGCTACTTGTGTCCACTCGTTGTCTACCCCGACACACAATAATGCTTGTTGTAAACTGTTTGGATGGTTTAAAAATGAAATCTTTCCTAACATATTTTTCGTATTTTAACCCACTTTCCAATCAACAGCTTTTTAATCTAAAGTTATGTGAATAAATTTGTGATTTTCTTATTAAATATGGTACTTCTATAACCTACTTACAAAACACTATTAAAAAATTTACTCAGGGTTTCTTCCGACGTGCTATACAGCGTGACCAATCATATACTTGTGCTAAAAATGGTACATGTGAGATAAATAAAACGCTTCGTAACAAATGTCAACAATGTCGACTCCTCAAGTGCATTGCTGTGGGAATGTCGAGAGATGGTAAGTTGTTTATTTATCGTTATTTTCAAAGAGGGGTTTTGTGGATATTTTAGTAGTTTAATAGTTGACCTCATGAGTCAATTAAAGCTAGACCACCATGGAAAACCTGAATGTGCTATGCGGCCGTTTCGTTCTAGTATGGACTCAGCAGTACGCATCCACGATCTCCGCCCTACGTGATTCGAACCCACATACTATCAACCGTCCAGTTTTTCCATGGTGGTCTAGCTTCAATTGACTCATGATTTCAACTATTAAATTATCGTTATTTGTTCATCTACATTATATTATGTCTTCTTTTATCGTGTTCCCGTTCAATGTATTTCTTAGTGTTGTTTTCTTGCATTTGTTTCGTCCGATTCTACAAATCTGAACTGCACTTAATAAAATTAACTCATCATCTTTCGGAATAGTTTAATTTGATGTCAAGTCTTTCGCAGGATGAGTTGGGATGGTCATTCTAGAAAAGGTTACCAATTCCTGAAAGTGACCTACGAACATTTATCAATTAGACATATTAACAAATCCGAAAATATTCATATTTCATTTTGAGATTCAAACTTGTGTTATACCATGCATTTTGTTATTGATTTATTTGTGGAGAGACTAATATCTTGCGAATTCTTATTATTTTTATAGTCTGATAACCAATTCACCCACTTTCTTAAATACTGTTTAGTTGAATAAGTTGAGTAACTCTAGAAAAAATTTCAAATTGATTAGTTTTATTAGTTTGACTCCATTTATTTGCTTTTAACATTTTGGTTAGTCTAAATTCACTAATAAAATGTTTTGGCGAAGGCATATTTTACGGCATGTAAGAAAATCATCTATCATATACAACTAAGGTATAAGTTATTAAGTTTTGGAATTCGGTTATAAGATACTGTGCTCGATTTGTACCTTAGTACGCTTAAATTTGGTTCTAAATGAGGTCGAATTTTCGAAGATTCTCATTTTTCAATGGATTGATACCAATATGTTAAAATGGATCGAGAATCTTCAACTGAATAACCTATAAGTTAAAACACTAATATTATTAGTTAAGTTTAATCTGAGTGGGTAAGCATTGCAATACGTTCATCTGAGAATATTTTATTGTTAAGTCCTATAAGATTTACGATTGCAATTTATCCAAGAACTTTCAAGCTTCTGACTGACTTCTTTTATCTTATTCTATTTGTATTCCAGTCTTCATTTATACCAGTCAGACCAAAAGTGATATCACTTTATGAGGTTATAGACTGTTTATATAAGTTATGTTTGGAGGTCCATACTTCTCGTACGGACTCCGCAAAATAGAGTCACACTATGTAACTATAGATGTTTAGGTGGAAATTTAAAACCGGTTGCAATTAAATGGCCATTTTCATATTTTTATCTCCCTCTAAATTTTTAGGACTAATCTTAACCACTTCCAGATTTCATTGACTCTTTTTAATCTTTATTTTTCATTATTGTCAGTACTATTATTTCAACTCCTTTGATTATTCTCTTTGTTGCAGACTTTACGAGTAACAGAATTTTCGTTGTTTATTTCCTAAATTATTTGCTTTTCTTTCTAAAGAATGAATTCTGTGTTGTTCAATATATTAATCTTATCATTTATGTATGATGGGCAAACACGTGCTTATATGCAAATCCCATTTGAATTTGATTACCGTATTCATTAATCTACCTTTCTGTCCACTTTCAGATTTTCCGAATTAATTTTCCTAATCCCCATTATTGTGTAATATCATTAATATATATATATATATATTTCTGGTTAGCATTTTTTTAGCAAGGTTTTTTCGACGGGATGGGATTGTCAACCTCAAATTGATACCATTTCAAACTTTAAAATGGAATGAAATAATGTGAAATAAAAATTTATAGGAGTGTTGTAAATAGTATTCTTGTATTTAAAGGTAGATATGATTGTATGCTTTGAACTAATAGTGATTAGTGTAAATAATATTTTTTTATGAAAATGAAAAATGCTCAATTATCGTAGAATTTATCCATGTATATTCATCAAATGAGGTTTAATTCGTTGCCTTATTTATTACTGAACAGAAAACTAGTAAAATTTATGACTCATTATCTTTTGAATTATTATAAAGAGCTTAATTTTTTTGTCATTCAGTATTTCTATTAAAGAACAAACTATTTTAGCATAATCTTAGTAATCGTGATTGAAAAGTTCATCGTACTTCATCTGATTAGCTAATTTGAGCTTCTTCAAGAAATTATCAGAGTAATAAAAATATATTTAATTTTAATTGGTGAAAATTTTTAAAATTGTAATTGTCTAAACGACGCTTTCTGTTTGCGCGTTACTTAGTTTGTTCGTTGAAGTTTAGAGAAAAATTCTTTGTATTAAATTTACATTTTACTGTACTTAACATCCCAGATGTGTTCTATAAGAAAAGTAATGGAATCTGGTTGTACGGATTCTTTTTAATATGTGATGACATACTGTCTACCTAAATCGCACTTAATTAGTTCGCGGTTGAATTATAAAGCACTTTAAGACTGATAGAAACCGGTACATGCACACGCTGATGACTAGTATTTGGAAATAGTCAAGAAGTTTGTGTATTTTGTTAGTTATGTTATTCCTTGTGACGAAGGCCACAGGTGACTATAAATTTTTTTTACATGATATTACGTTAGTTTGGCCACTAAGTATTTTGTGCATAACATGGTAGTGCTCTATACTTTTGAAACACACTCTTTTTGAGTTAAAGATATCCAAAAATGCTGTCGAATACAGATTTTCCACGTTTAATGGCAATACTATACGTGTGAGGCCAAGGTTAATCAACTTGTTTTAAACATATTTCATGTAATGTTAGAATACCTGCTTCAGCATCTTGGATATGTACTGTGGGCGCTAATCTAACAGCTTTCATAATGAGCATTGATTAGTGACACTAAAACTAATCGGCAAAAGTAATCAAGTAGGAGGTTTATAATATACCACCTTGATAATAATTGGTGTGATTTTAGCCTTTACTCTTCGTTAAGCTGTGAAATTGTCCTACCTACATCATGTGCTTAATACACCAGGTTAAAAACTAGAGACTTTGTATTCATTAAAACTGTTCACAAAGTCCCAGGATGACTAAGCTGTGAGATGCCTTATATTCATGAAATCGTTAACATTATTGTAGTTCTGTCAGAAATAAACACTGTCGTAGTCATAGAACAATCAACATAAAATGCAATCGATATATTAGGTACCTTCAAGCTATTTAGTAAACTTTATCTATACAAAGTATAGATAAGTCATTTCTTAAGTATAGTTAACCGTTTCCGTCAGTTTTCATTCTTTGTTCTGGTTTATTTCTTATTATTTTTAGCATTTAGAAACAAATATTTTCTATTGATCAATAGTATTCCCATTATTTTTACTTACAGCTGTTCGTAAAAGGCGTCATGGTAAAAAACGGGAACAGTCTTCTTGTGAATCAGTTACCTTGCCTAGTTCAGATTCCTCAAACAAATATGAAACATCAGCATATTCGTCAGGTTCTGCAGACGTAGTTTTAACTCCATCTGAAGCACATTTAAATGAAACTACACTTAAGCCCCAGGAAATGCCAATAACATCAACTAATTTTCAACCATCATCTTCGTCAATACCATCTTCTACTAATATTTCTTTAACCTTATGTAATAATAATAATAGCGATAATAGTAACAGTTTGACTAAGGAAGATCAACAAACTCTAGACAAATTTGATCGTTTTTTAAACTATTGTAAAGATCAAGCTATCAAATATCAGGCGAATAGTTGGAATATTTCTAAATCTGATTATTATCACTTATCAGGATCTTTATCAAGACATCTATCTCCCATAAAGGTATGTTTAATGGGTGATTTTAAAAAAAATCTTATTTTGAAAACTTTTGTAATCTGTCAGTCAGTAACAACGTAGAACTTCGTATGTACGTACATCAGTTCGAGTTGCCATACCACATTAGCACACAGATATAATTGTCGATTCAAATCCCATAGTGGTAGAGGTAGTAAGAGTATAAGCAGAAGAGAAAAAAGAGACAAGGAGGAATCAGGAGATTAAAATTAGGGAGAACGCAAAGAGTGTATGCATGGTGGTCTAGCTTCAAGTGACTCATGATCTCAAGCATTGAAATTACTATAATATTTCTATTAGTTTACAAATTACTAATTTGAATAGATTTGTCTCGTTACTACTCTGCACATTCATATTTCATTTCTATTATTTGGTTATTTGTTCCTATAAGAAAAATAGCCCTATTCGTAGTTTTAGATTTCATCACATAGTTTGAACACATAGATCGCAAGTGATAAATTTATATGTAAATTAATTTAGACCTTTGTAGTGTTAGTTATCTTTACTGCGAATACTCGACCAATATCTGTCCTACCACCAGTTTCTATAACTATATGGGTATAAAATGTCTGAAGCATTCAACATCAGACTATGAACAAAAATATACACACCATAGAATAAATATTCAAATTTGTATTTTTCACAGTTGTACTAAATATCACAAAGGTGAAAATAAATTAACAAGACAAAAGGTAAAAAAACAGTCGAACTAATCAAGTCAACGTTATCTAAAATTGAAACAAGGATAAATTTTTAAGAAAACAACTATAAAACGAATAGGATAACACGGAGCTCATATATAGAGGAAGATAATAAATGAATACATCTAAGTCACTACGACCAATTTTAAGCCATATTTTCTAGAATTCCCAAACAATAGAATATGATCATCTCATAAATCCCAATCATGAACAATAGTAGCGGTAATATAGAGAAATTTCAAAGTTATTACTGTTGTAAAATAAATAGTTAAGAACTATGAAAAACGGATGTTGTTACATGATTTATTTATTATTGAATGAGTTCGATCATTATTAATCTGCTTGAACTTTCTTTCTGTTTAATTTCTGTTTGTGCATCTCATTTACAAGGAATTTAACAATTTTTCTAATTGAATTTGTATATCCCTTAATCGTATCAATACAATGAGATGAATTCATAATAATATCTAATATTACTGGTACATATTAATGAGATAGTATCTTTTCTTGCTACAACATCTGCGTTATATGTGATTGGACATAATTCATAGTTCCAACATTTCACATTCCTATGTAGTATGTATCATTTATGTTTGTGATTATTGGGTGAACAGTTTATTTTTGTTTCTATCTAGAATAATTTTATTATTATTAATTATTTTAATACCCTTTTTTTTTTTTAAAGCATACTCCCTATGAATTGGGTGAATCATTAAAGCTTCTTACAGTGGATGAAATATTTTGTCCTGCTCAACTTAAATTTACACATGAATTCGCCTGTCATTTAGAGCAGTTCATACGACTTTCTCAGCATGATCAATCTATCCTATTAAGAGATTGTTTGCCTGAACTTGCTGTAAGCATATTTCTATTTGTGTTATTTCAATGGATAAATCTTTTCTATCCATAATTTCAGTTATTTTATTATTTACTCAATTAAAATAGTTTGAATACAGTTAGTAAATTTACATTTCTTGACTGATCATAATAAATAATTTTTGTTGCATAAACTAACATGAATATGCTTGAGAAGTACTTGCATTGTTTATAATAGTAAGTATTTATTCCTTTGAGGTATTAGTATCCCAGTAAGGTTGGTTAAAAATCGGCAAAATAAACTTAATCTTGGGGTAAGTAAGGTAATTAATTTCGTTCATAGCTTCAATTTTCTTCATTTGTGAAATAAACAATTTAAATCTAGTGCTTGGAATTTCTTTCCAATTGTTTGAGATGATCTAAAATTTATAAGAGCGTTTTAAAGTCTAAATTTTTCAAAATTCGATATAATTTTCTCAGTAGAATTTTCAGTTAACATAACGTATGCTGCCTGACTAATCAGAATAGAGAGAGCATCTTCTAAGATCATACTGGTCAGAAATTAGAATTAACCTTTCCATCATGAACTGATATCAGCTTTGATACAAGCTTTGTAATATTCATACCTTAGTTCTTAGTCTAAGTATAATTCATTTATCTGTGTTGTCTCCTGATAGGTTAAAATTGTTAGGATCTCTAATTCATTAGATAGTTTACCAATATTCATGTTTATTTTACATTTATCTTGATTTTGGTATCCTTCACTTGTTAGATATTAATGTTATGTCGCGAAAATCGGAACAAGACTCATATGAACTTTTCATCTACATCAATAAATTATCAATTGAATTGTTTATTTAGTCCATGGTTTCCGAATGCAGTAGTTACAGATTCCTCTCTGGATTGTCTACATATGACTTGTGATAGTATAACTTCTCAAAGTATTTTTCAATTTGCTTCAAGACTTCAACGATTACATTTGACAAATATGGAATTTGGACCACTTATTGGTGTGATACTTTTTACTCCAGGTAATCAGCTGCTAAATTATGTATACACAATAATTTTTCATATCAGACACATTTGTTTACAAATAGTTGAAAATTATGAGATTTCCATTGCCTCACAATACCTAGCTCATATATAATAATACTTTATAGATTAAAAAATGTGTGAGGTTTCGTTGTTCACTTGGCTGGCGAATGTAAAAGTGGATAAAAATGCAAATAATTTTTTACTGTACAATTGAAATGTTGAGCGTGATTATAAAATAAGAGACTAGCTAGACACGTGTCACCCAAATAGTGAGTTCCCACCCAAGACTACATACTTGTCGTTGATAAATTAGTTACATTGAAACCGAATGACTGCATTTGGTGTCCTTATTCTTGTTCTCAACTAATATTGTTACAAATGTAGTTATAGAAAACCCTTATGTAAATTTTATGCCAGCTATAGAGTTAACAGTATAATAATTTTATAACTCAAAGACAAGATTTGTGTAAAAGCATTATACTATTATGAAATATAAATAAATACTGATGATTTATGGACATCAAGTTTTGATGCGTTCGGACCTATGTTGCAACAACGAAGTGTGTCCTTCAAACAAGTAAATAAAGAGAAATTAAGACTCAAGCTCTACATCAAAAAATACTACATGGATATATATATATATATATATATATATATATATATATATATATAGCTTCAATATTAACAACTAGTAAAAATATATAAAAGTCTATTTTTCGAAATCAAAGGGGGCGTTTAAACAAGGTGAGAAATAGCTTAAACATTTAATTGCGAGTAGAAATATTTAGCAACCCATAAACGAATTACAAACCCGTGTACCTAGCTTTTAGCCATACCCAAAGTGTATGGGCTATTGATACTATGTGGTTACCCAAGCTAAACTAAATAGAGCAGAGTTTAAATCTACCACTTCGTAACTTAAAATTAAACGCCTTGACCGCTACGTCAGCCATCGCCCACAATGACTATCTAAATATTATCTAAGAGGATACATTGAACATGATATATTTGCAATTGGAAATAGTTTACTTAATTGAATTAGTATATTTGCTTAATGTTTGGTAAGTTCTTTTATTCATAATTTCTTTTTTATCTCTTTTTCTACGCATATATATATTTATTTATTTAGAACGTTCTGATCTATTAGATATTGACTTTGTCAATCGTACACAAAATTTATGGGCTGAATTATTACGTCGTTATTGTGAAAGTAATGGATCACAAACACGTTGTGCTCATTTAATTATGATTTTATCTACACTACGTGAACTTGCCTCTAAAATAACGCATAATTTAAATGCATGGTATAAATTATCCAATACTCCAATGTCAAATTGTCTTAAAGAATTTCTTTATTCTTCCAGTTTTAATTCAATGGATGATTGTTTTTAATTATTGTGTAATTTTCTTATGATTTTTCTTGGTGAATAATAGTGAGAGATATCTCTTGCCGTTTTTTTTTAAAGAAAAAACAATTAGGATTACATACTACATATCTTCTTGTATTTGTGTTTAATTTTGCTCTGTTATTATTTTATGAATATATTTGTAATTATCTAGATGATCAAATGTACGCACACAGGTAACCTGTTTACTAAATGAGCATGAATTTTATAAATTTTTTTATAAAAAAAACAAGCAAAACTTTACCTTAATGTTCATACGCACAATGATAATCTCAATTCTTTGATAACTTATAGGCTGTCAATACTATTTTAGTGGTTAATTCGATTAAATTAGGGAATGATAATAGAGAAAGGTTTAGAAGTGATTATGTGTAAGACCAAATTATTTCTACTTGGTTGTCTTTTTACTGCTTATCATGACGATTTTTTCATTTTTTTTCTGTGTCATAATTTTTTTTACCAATTTTGTTGATGCAATTTACAAGGATCTCTTATTTTCGAAAGAAAATATTCACGCACAATTATTATTATTATTACTATCTATATGAATAATAATATTATTAATAATCCAGTGATTTCGGCTTACCATGACTATTAATACGATTTAAAACTACTTTGCGCCTCATTATTTTGTTTACAATTATATTCTGACGTGAAAAATTGATAAACATTAACTCATTTTCATCTTTTCCTCCACCCTTCTGTCTCTTTGTAATGTACATTGTGTTTACAAAATGGTATTCCTGTAAACAACTACTCTCACGCATATCTCCTGTTTTTATATATTGTAAAACTGTGTACTTTTGTGTGTTTCTTGTCTTTGATTTTTTTTATCTCTACTAGTAGTGATATAATTCTTGTATTCCGTCTTCCGATTTATTACATGATAAAAAACCATCTGAAAAAAAATGTAATTTCAGGACATTTTGTCAATATACATTGTTGTTTATTCGTAAGTCTTATGGAACTATTACCATAGTATGCTCAGAAAACACTGATCAGTCTAACTGAAATCGTCTTTGGAGTTAATCCCCTGATAAGGTGCGAATGAATCATTCAACTAACGATATCCATATGTGTTGATTTAACCCATTAGTCATTTTTCCAATTCAGAAATTGTCTCTAGTTTACCGTTACCAATGTTAAATTACCTTTAGGTAACGTTGGTTTACTTACCACTTTAATTCACTCGTGGCAGAGTCAGTTATGTTAAAAGTTTTGGTAAATAATCTGCAGCTATCTAATTTTCTGTTTATTGCACAATATTGAATCACTCTCGTAATATATTACTCACGCCTGTTACCCCTCGTGGAGGAGCATAGGCCGCCCACCCGCATTTCTCATCGAACACTGTCCTGGGCAATCCTTTCCAGTTACCATTCATTCTTTTGATGTCTGTTTTCGATCTTCTGCGCAGTGTGTTCTTTGAACTCAATATATTATATAATAATAATAAGTGCTCAACAGTTATTTTTTCCATAGTTGGTATGCCCTAGAACTGAATTACTCAAGGGATACTGTTTAAGTGATGTAGCGATTATTTTGGTGAACAGCAAAGACGTTATTAATATACTAGCAGTCTGTATGAAAACCAGCTTGCTGATTACTAGTCAATCTCTCACAACCCATAGTGTTTGGCGAGGCCAATAGCATTGAAGCGAAACCCAGAGACATATCCCGATACTTTTTACATAGGGCTTTTCTAAAGATGAGATCACTGGCTGCGTCATCCCAATATTGTGGGATACTTTCCCAAGCAGACCAATCACTTTCCTGACTTGAAGTTCCTTTCCATCCTTGAAAAATAGATAGACGTGGGTTGTTTAGACACTACTTGCCTCTGTTTCGTTCGGCGGATCGGTAGTCAATGATCGAGGAGCACAAGAGTCTAATCGACGTCATAGTAACAGTCCATTTGGAATTTCTCCTAAAATACTTGATCCAGAGTACATGATACCTTTTGGTAGATTGAGTCTTAGCCTTGAATATTTTTGAATAAGGTCTTTCGTTGCAGCGGAATATTCAAACAACTTTTTGTACCGATCCTTCGAGAACGATATGTCTGTAAGCCACTAAAAAGTAAAATCGACTCAACTCATACAAGGTCATAATTAGGACCTGCATAGATGCTCCAGAAGAATGAGATTTTCACTTCACTGGTGATCAGTTTAAGTAACTTCTAGTCAGATATTGGTCTGAACAAAATTGGAGAGGCAGCCTCCCTTTATTGAACTATTAATACATTCAGGCTTCCAAATACCACCAAAGTGATAATTGCATGTGCATCCCTGAGGTCATCATTAAATTGATGGCAGAGCATGTTCTTTATTGGTTTTTGGGCTGCAACCCGTCGGAACTTAGTAGCAGATTACTAAAAGATATTTTACACTCCGATTTCTCGCTTCCTTCATTAACAGCACATCAATGATTATTAACGAGGACCTCATCGGAAAAGAAATATCAGTGGAGAGGCTGAAAACCGGTGAGTTTCGAGAGAAAGAGCGGATAATCTCCACACACCTACCAGGGTATTTAAGGTGTTATCTATTCAGTATTATAATCATGTCAGCATTGAAGGTCCTCGGTAGTTCAGAAAATTTTTCAGAAGTGATTTAGAACTAAAAGTATTCCAACCAATCAATACCTCTGGAAATATTTAAAAAGAATCTAGGGAATTATTCCTTCCTTGTTCTGAATGTATACTATACCGAATTCGTTCCCAATTTCAGCATGTTTCTCATTATTTGAAATTCGCGGTTACATAATTCTCTTTCGAGTTAAGTGTTTCAATTGCTCGTGTTAAGGTGCACTGTATACCATTTATTTTCACGAAGTTATTATAGAATCGTGCATAGCGGACAGAGGGTACTATTTGATGTATGGGAAATGTAAGCAATTATTAAAAAATATGAGATGACTTGGGTATTATAAGATTTGCTAATCTCCCAGAGAATTTATAACAAAGAACTATCTACTTGTAGTTTTTTTTATTTTGCTGGCCATTATACAAAATATAATGAAGATTAGTCCTGGTTGCCAGTAAGTTTTCATTGTCACACTAACAGTTCTAAGTTAACAGAATTCAGTTTATGTAGTTTTAATAGGAAAGTACGAAAGGAATCTAGTTAGTCGAGGAATGATAAACTGTCGCTATTAGAGCACCGATTCTTTGGTGACGTATCCCACACTTAAGCGGCAGAATACTGTTGGAATAATTCGTGTTTCAGAAACAAAGATTACTTAAGGGAAGAAGTTTTTTTCGACGATATCATTTATGAGAGCTGTACAATTACATTGATATTAATTTGACATACATAGTGGTTCGTTAGAGTATAGACTGAGATTGCGTCACAGATGGTTTAGAAATATTAAAGAGTTACGTAATGATCTAAAGGATAATAAAAATGTCAAGAGTTAATTATCCACTTGAGATATACGAGTAATTGAGTGATGTAACAACAGTTAATTAATTATTAAGTATGGAAATTACGAATAAGATTGAAAGTCATGGCAATAACGATAGACTGAATATAATACCAAGTGGTTGGAGGTAGAAAGTTGGGAGCTCAACACATAGGTTTCTTGATAGTTTTTACTGATCAGTAAGGTATATCTGGAATATTGAGGCCACTGATGATCTTTGGTGACCAGTTTCACAGTCTTGGATATTATCTACCACTCGATGTCGAGTCACTTAAACTAGTGTTCACATTCCAATTTGAAAGATAGAACTCGGTCTATATCAGGAACTATACGCATATGGCACCGTCCACTACTCACTAGCTAATCACTTTGGACATGATGCTTTTACTTAGATTTGAATCAGTGAATTGAAAGATTATATCGTTATGAAGAAACTAAAATACAAGTCTATGTAGTTCATAACCATTGTACAATTCATGTGTACGTTTATGTTCATCCAGTAGCCTATACATACTCATCAAGAATCCAATCAGGTTACAAAATAAAATGTCTCAGTCAACGACAGTCGACCTCTAATTGTATAATCCATAAGGAATAGGTATGATATATCTACATTTGAACAAATGAAAAGCTATCTATACTTCTAAGTATATGATAGTGCTATTTTCAACTTAATACTTTCTTAAGTAACTATAATTCAATTATTAAGGTGGTTTTTTTTTCATCTGAAGGAATCTAGTCATAATTCGCCGGATTTTCATGTTACCTTATCACCAAATGGCGTTTTTACTTTGTTTAATCTGCAGAATTTAAAATCACCATATATGTAGACGTAGTTTTGAATACGAACTTGATGATCGAAACTTTCATTAATGTTTGGTTATACACGAGAGATAGAGGATTAACAATATGTGGTGAGGATATTGTAAAAAAATAACTGATAATTCAGCCTGACTGTAAATAAGAATTTCAACAAAACAGCATTTCAGTATTGTATCTTTTTTATTGTAACTGATATACGTCAAACCATAGTTATAGAAATTTTAATTAATCTCTCCATGGTTTTAATGCGATAGTGATGTTTTGTGAAACAGGAGTAACTACTGATAGAAGTGTTAGTAGTATAACACCAGTTTCCGTTTCAAGTTTATATATATTTATATCACCAAAACGTGTTTAATTTAATTCTTTTAATTTACCATCTTTTGGCTCAATTTTTGAACAGTTTCTGGCAACTCGGCCTTAAACTATATATGTATATTTTTTCAATAAATAGTATGATTCTCAATTAGATCTTCATCAGGCTTTGCCATAATATGATCAGAATGAGTGTTTGTGACGATTGTAGTAATTTTCTAGTAGTTGAACTCGAGTTGATGTAAGCTAAACCACCAGTGAAAACCTGGAAGCCTTGGACGGTCGTTTCGTCCTAGTATGGGACTCCTCAGCAGTGCACCTTCAAGATGTACAATATATCCACATGCATATGTGAAAATATTAGGTAAATCGAAGCAGTTTATGAGTCGGCGATAACAATGGAATAGGTTACATGAATAAACATAATGAGTAAGAAGTACATATTTATAGTGTTATGACAATTGTACTGGATGAGATAAGAATAAT